AAATACAGCTCATGAAAATGTAAGTTCATATCAAATTCACAAATTCGCCAGAGTATTTACGGATTGTATGGATACAAGTATTTAAATATTTTAGTTTTTAAGGATCAAATCTATTATTAGGATGAATCAATTAAGAAAAGTTTTTTTTTTTTAATTATCAATATATTTTGTTGATCTACCAAAATAAATAAAATATAACCACAGTTTACACAAAATAATATATAATCGGATGATTTTTCCAAAAAAAATCATTTACAAACTGCATAATAAATATTGTAGTTAGTACGACGTGATTTTTAAAGTGTATTAGTACCCGTTTTTACCATCTGGGTTGGGAGAGCGACATGCATATACACACAGTTTAGCTCTGATGGTTACTGGTTAAAAATACAGTATATGCTAAATCTTGTGGAGGTCATTAATGAGGGGCTTCGAGATATCTTCCTCACCCTTGTCTCTAGATTTTTCTTAAATACGTGATTTGGATTAATATTTATGCACCTTACATTCGTACTAACAGAACATGAATGAATACACTTTCGTACTAAATAAATTACAACCCTGAATATCACCTATCTAATTTAACCATAACACCGTTGTTCTATATTTGAAACTTTATTTATTTTATTTTATTTTATTTATTTTTTTTTGTTCTCTACAGAAGTTCTTTTCCAAGGAATTTGCTATATTGAATTAACGATTGCAATTATTCTTTTTTAAAATAAAATAAAAGCGATACGCAAATTGCATATCAATCTCATATATCTATACATTTAAATTCGGAAATCATAATTAAATCTGGATTCACGCATCAATAATTCTAACTCCAATGTTATCTATCAAAATATTTATTTTCGCGAAACAATGAAGTATACGTTAAACTATCAATCTAACAAATTTTAGGGCGTACCGGTACATTTAAAGTTTAAATTTGGTAAGTTCGTATGGGACGCCACATTGACATTCATAGATTGACAATTGCGATTGGTGAAATTGGAAAAACATCTCATTTTTCCGAAATAATTCTTTTTTTAGTAATTTAAATAGTGATTTTTTTTGGTAATTTCTAAATTGAGTAATTCAATTATTCCGTTTATCCGATAATTTTATCAAAATTTTTATGCAAATCAGTATATTTTTTTCTTAAATAAGCAAATTCAATTATTCCATTTATTCCGCTGTAAGGCCGACGAAAGTCAAAAAAAAAATTAATAATATAGATAAATAATATTTAAAATACACATATATACCCAATTTTCTTAAAGCTGATAACATTACAATTTTGTAAAATATAAAAAATAATCCTAATACAGTACGAAAACCTAAAAATATTTGAATTTCTTTAAGACTAACTAACAATATGTTATTATGAATAAACCCAGAGAAATTCTAGTTTTTCTAGACTAATTATTGAACAAATCCCAATAGAATCGCTATTAAAACTCTCAAATCACCAATAGTATCGCTAGTTAAACAAGAATTTCTCAGAGTTCAGTCGAAAATACTAGATAGCACATTTTTTAAATTTGTGAACTATATTATAAAATTTATTATACTTGCACTTAAAGAAAAGAATCGATATTTAGATCTTTTTTTGTCAATATAGCTTCTTCCTAGAAACTTCGAAAATTCTACAGCTTTACGTCAAGGATCTGTTTCCATATCTACAAATTCATCGAACTCGGGATACTCGTGATATTTAAATGGTTCATAAGTTATCATAGCTATTATATTATATAATAGGATATTAGTCTTTCATGTTTCGGTTAAAGTTTTTTTTTTTTTTTTATGAACCTGTAGCCACTTGTAGTCCGTTATGAATTAAAGGTTTTATGGAGTAAATCTAATCATGCGACACTGGTGAAAAAGTGGTATTTTTACTAGATAATATATTATTAAAATATGGTAATTATGTTCAAATATTTTCTATTACTCAGTAATTAAGTAAGGATTTGTACTATATTTTACAAAATATTGCCTAGTAAAAATATAATTTTTTGACCTGTGCGGGAATTTTTACAGGTTTACAAGTGATAAAGGTTGAGATTAACTTGAACTCAATTGAGGTGCTGCTCATTTCATAGACAATCACCTAACAGACACAGTTCACAAACAATCAATTCACCTACAACTATATACTATTAATTTTGTAGACAAGTTCATTTCGTAGACATCTTATTTCACAGACAGCTCGTTTAGTGTATTCAGAAATATTTTAAATAATTAAAATTTAGAATAAAAATATATAGACATTATCATATTATAGACCTTTAGGCCGTTCAAAGTTGATTAATTGACTAACATCTCATGCACGAGAACGCAGAAAATTAGGTTAATTTCATTGATCGATTTGTGGAGTATTTGGTAATCTCATTGGTCGATTTGAATCACGCAATTTTCAAATAATCCAGTGTCGTAATTATAAATAATAACAAATGTTCTAAATATAATATGATAAAAATCTATATATTTTATAGTAAATTCTTTCCGAAGTTTGAAATATTTATATATTAATGAAAGTTCTAGCTCATTTCTCAGAAAACAAGTTATTGCCATAAATCGGCTTAAGGTTAGAAGAAAGTATGGTTTATATCAAGTTTTGTAAGCAATAAAATTGTATATGAAAGGAGCTGTTGTGAAATAAGCTATCAATGAAATGAGCTTGTCTATGAGTTGGTTGTCTGTAAAATGAACTTGTCGGTGAGTTTAAGTCGACAAATATATTTAATTCACACTGAAACACCGTGACTTAAACTAAGTTAATTAACCAAATTAACTAGACGAATCAATAATTGTAAATAAGCACTGTCAACAAAACCTGTACGTTAATATTTGATGTGTCGGATATATAAGACTTAAGGTAAAAGGGGGTACTGTAGCCACATTAAACTAAAAATTATTATATCTCGTGATATATCGATCCAAATTAAGTGATTTTATACCATTAGAATCGTCTCATTGAGACGAATCTAATGGTACCAAAATATTTGATTTTGATCGCAAGATCACGAGATAATTAGATCCGAATATTCTATAAATTAAAGTATATATAGTGGCCATAGGGGGTATTGTGGCCACTCTGTTACGATCTCGTGATCTATTGATCCATTAAACGATTTTTATACCATTCGATTCGTCTCAGTGAGACAATTCGAATGGTTTAAAAATCGCTTAATTTGGATCACAGTGTCACGAGATATTGATGTTTGAATATTTTATGAGTTTCAAAAAAATTAAGCTAAAATATTCAAACATCAATATCTCGTGACACTGTGATCAAATTAAGCGATTTATACCATTCGAATCATCTCATTGAGACAAATCGAATGGTATAAAATTGTTTGATTTGGTTCGATAGATCATAAGATACTTCGGGTGGCTACAATACCCCGGCCACAATACCCCCATCTCCCTTAAGTTCCTAATTAAGTTCCGATGCGATAAAATTTTAAAACTTTAAACTTGCCCGTGAATCGACTCTTAAGTCAGTTAAGTGTCGATTCATGGAAAATTCGATTTACAGTTTATTGAATCGTCTCTAATTAATAAGTCAAGCTGACACTGTGTGAATTAAGTCGACAAGTCGACTTTGTAATTGAGCTCAGGCTCATTCTTAAATACAGCTGGTTGAAAGATTCTCTCATGCCTTTTGGTTTACATAAAAAATGCATCTGATAAACTTTATAAGTTATGGAAAGTTATATTAATTTACTGTACTTACTTATGTGAAAATGTGAATATCTATACAGTACTTGTACATAATACACACGTAAATTAATATAACATTTCATCTCTTTAAAAACCTTCAGCATTTTTTGAAGACTTCCTAAACCTTTTGCATATAGAGATTCTTACAAGAAAATAATAACAAGACTTTACCATTAACCATTTCTTGATCTAATTTGAATAATAAATTTTTAGTTTTGAAAATAATAATTGGTTAAATTAAATAGCAGAAAATTGTCAGTTACCTCCCGTCAAAATAGCATATTTCAAAGTATGAAATTTACTTTTTGAACTTTCATTTTCTTGCTCCAATGCTAAATTTGTCTTTGATATTTTCTCATTTTCTTTCTCCAATGCTGACATTGTCATTGATTTTTCCTCATTTTCTTGCTTCAATGCTGACATCGTCATTGACATTTCTTTAAATAAAATTTGGTATTTTCTCAACTCTTTTTCTAATATTTGAACCGTTTGACATTCTTCTCTCAACTCTTTTTCTAATATTTGGACCCTTTGACATTTTTCTCTCAACTCTTTTTCTGATATTTGAACCCTTTGACATTCTTCTTTTGAACAAAAACCAATAATGCCGGTAAGTTTTTTGTTACAGGCAATGCAATAAGGAGTAACATCGCATTTTAATTCTTGTTCTGAACATCTGTTACAGGGAATTATTTTCGGTTCAGCTTCACTGTCGACTAGATCTAGATCTAATTTCCAATCCTTGCAACGTTTTTTTGCTTTTCTACATTGCACGCATGCGTATTTGTTTCCTTTCTTATTTTTTTGAATCTCATCTTCTTGTTCCATTTATGTTTCAGAAAACCAAAGAAAGTATTTAATAATTTATTGAATAGAGAACTGATAAGAATTTCGATTAAAGTATGATAATAATATCGTGTAAAATATCTCGATAAATTCAAGATAAAATTTTTCTTTGATAGTTATTTACAACAGTAGCACTTAGTTTGTATATATGCATTGATACGGCAAATTTGAGAGATGCCGACTATAACTTTATTGGTTAGAAAAGTGACATGAATATTTTAATCATATTATGACTTTAACGCATCTTTATTATCACATTTAATATTAGGACTACGCATTTATAGACAATTTGAAAAACTATTATTATTTATTAATTAATAAAAGTGACAAGCATTTTTAATAAAAGTCACGTGATAAATTAATAATTGACTTAAAAAGGAGGTCGGCTAAAGCGGAGTTAGGGTTAGGTTTCATATATTAAATTAACTCCGCTTTAACCGACCCCTTAAAAAGTAATAATTAAAGATCACATGTTGAGCGGTGAACATACACTTTGCCGCCTTGTACTGCCTGTACAACATAAATTCTTATTAAAACTTGTATTTTTAACCACGAAAATATTGTTGTACAGTTCAATATTCTCTAAAAAGCTTTTTTATACATCAGACAACTTCATTACAATGTTACTTCTCTCTCGAAAGAAAAAATCGACATCTGCATGCGAAAATTGTAAAATTGCGAGAGTAAAATGTTCTGGCGTGCCTCAATGTGAACGTTGCATATACAAAAAGTTGAAATGCATATTCAATAAACAATTAAAGCGAGGGCCAAAGCCAAGGATCAAAACATCGGCCAATTCAATCACTTCAGAACTAATTAAAGATACAAACCCAACTTGTGCTTCACTACTGAATGATTTACAGAAAGAAGAACAATCCCTCACTCAAAAATTACAATCCCTCACTCAAAAATTACATATAATCCGGAGGTTAACAGACGTAGTAAAAACAAGAGATCTTGCATCATATTTAACTCAAGATATTGGATGCGTTTTTAATAATCCAATCAATTATATTAATTTTCCTGAACAACAAAATTCGCTAGAATATTTAAATTCGATTGATCCTTTTGAAACATCATTACAAGAAAATAGGCCACTGGACTGTAATTCTTCTCAAACAAATTCATTTGATTCCTTAACAATTTCTTATCCTTCTATGTTATTACAAGAACCTAGTATTATAGACTGTAATTCGTCTCAATCAAATTTATCTAATTCCTTATCAATTACTTATCCTTCCACGTTGTTACAAGAAACTAGTATGCCTGACTATAATACTTCTCGAACAAATTTACCTGAATCCTTGACGAATGCTTTTGATTCGCGCAGTTTTTCAAACCAAAAAATTAAATTTAAATATGAAACGCCTGAGACAATTAGAAAGAAAATTATTTTATTTAAAGAGAAATTGCATAACTTTGAATGTCATTTAAACCCACAGTCTAATAGTTTATTAAAGACTCAACAAATAGAAGCAGAAAAAAGTTCTTATTCTTCTACACAAATACCTATTCAACACTTTGGAAATGAATTAATTGATGGATTACCTAATAATAATTTTATGGAATATATGGGTGAATTCCCGTTTCTAATTGAGGATTTATTCCGAGAAAATACTGATCTATTTATTAATTAAATAATCTAGACATTAACTTTTATTAATAGATGTGTTATAAAATATAAATTTTATTTTTACAAATATTTTTTTACTACATAAGTTATAACTAAGAAAATGGGTTACGTTGATTTCTAATTACTTCTAACAAATATCGTACGAGAATGCATTACTTCCATTTGGGTGATATCTAATATGTATCATTGTGTCTTACCCCAAACTTTATAATAATATGAAGGCTGCCGTTTATATGATACCTGAATTTGTTTACTTATAGTTGTAAAGAGTAACAACACACAGCATACATAATAATTTAAGAGTTCAAAAGTAGAAACCAAAAACTTTAATATTGTAAAAAAAAAAAAATAGGGTTAATAATTTGTAACCCGAATTATTGTAATCGCAACCTGCAAGGCCATATGTGAAATCAAAACAAATGCTAGTGTTTTTAAAGAAATCGCTAATAACCTAAAATTTTACTTATAAAACTATCCTTCGCGTTCTAACAAAAAAAAATTCTTTGTAAAATCTTGGTATAAACTATGCCTACTCTAACCCTAATCTCGGGCTAACCCTGACCCTAACTTCAAAGAAAAAATTTACAATAATCTATGGCTACAAAATCATTAATTCAGAAAAATTAATACCTAAATTTTACATCCATATCTTAGAATATTTTACTCAAATCATTGCGTACTGCTCTGTTATTGTATGCGGCTCGCCTCTAAATTGGTCCCTGAAAAAAGCTAATAAGCGACATATTATAGCGGGTACGCTAATTAACATAAAGCTCTTTCTTGTATATTTCCCAACAATTTGTACTCGGGGGACTATATGAAGTCCAAATCTCATTTATACATAATAGTAGAGATAGTACCCGTATAAGAGTCACCTAGGTAACCCGTATGAGATCCGTTAACCGGGTCAACCTACTGCTACTCGGGTGACCCGGATTAGTTGGGATCTTTGCTATTAAATTGACTATCCGAGACTATTTAGATTTATGAATAAAATTAAAATTTACCAGCGATCTAGTTATCCAATTTAAATAATATTTAATAGAGTTCGCTAAGCTTTATGAAATAAAAGAAAATTATACAAGTTAGATTACTAGATCACTGATAAATTTTATTTTGTTTACAAAATCTAAATGGCCTTGAAAGGTTCCCAATTATTAAAAATAAACATTCATCAGATTAGCTGGTTGATTCAATTGTATAAAAAAACTGTTAAACTAATTTTACAAACTCAGCTTCGAAAAGCACTGTACAAATCAATTATTTTATAAATATAATAATCATTAGGTTGTTTCTTCATATATACATTATTAAAATAGAGGCACATAATATTAATGGAGTTAAATAAGATAATATAAAGGTAGAGCAACTAGCAGAATTTGATAGATTAGAAGAATACAATATTATCAGAATTTTAGAAATCGATATAGGGAAGTAAGAAGGCAATTAGACCAATATGAGGAGGAATATTGCTATGAGAATTAAAGATATATTTGTAGTTAAGTTATGTAAAGAGTATTTTAGTAAAGGTTGATAAAAAAGAAGTAAATGTAGTATAAAGGATGTTGAATAGAATTTCAATATCTTTACTAATTTCAGGATTAGTCTCATAGATAAAGTTGGTTAAAAAATCTAAACATTATCTAGTTAGAGTACAGTGTAAGTTTTTGAATATGTATTTAGACTTTTATTTGTTATTTTTAGATTTTTGTTTGTTATCCTTAGAAATATTGTTTTGTTAGCTTATATTAGGTTGTTTGCTTTGGCCAGATTTGAAGTTAATAAGAGAAGGTTGAAAAAAAATTTAAAGATTTGATAGCAAAAGAAGTATTAAGTTGAGTAAATAGTTCTATATTATTAGTAATTAGATAATAGATAAACTAGTTAAAGTTATTAGTAGTATTATGAGAAGGTTAGAATTGTTTTTAGTTGAAGGATAATTTGATTTTTTTAAGAATATTTTATTTGGTTTGTTTGGGTTTAGAAATAAATTTAATAATTTTCTAAATAAATTTCTTATAAGGAGTAAGATTAAAAAGTTGTTTTTGTTTAATAGAAATTTTTATATTTTCAAAGCAAGACTTATGAATAAGTCTTTTTTTGATAATAATAGCAAAAATATTATGAATATGTTTAGAATTTAGAAAAATTGTACAAGTAATATTTTGTTTATATATATAAATAGTAAGATTATATTGCAATTTGAATTATAGACAAGTTAAGATTTTGAGCAGAAATGAAAGTAGCAAAAAGAAAAAGAAGAGTTGTAGTAGGTTGAGAACTAAGTTTAATAGGAGATT